GCCCAACTTGACGGTTTTTTTTGGGATTTTATGGATTTTCAGTTTGTTCTTTAGATTTGATATAAAGTTTAACAAAAATTATGACTTATTGCAAAAATAATAAAACAAAAATATGCTTACAAAATAAAGCAAGCAACTTGACATAAATACATCTGGCATTAGTGCATCGGCACCTGTCAAGAAATAAAGAAGAGATATGACTTTGTCATTCAACTATTTCACTTTTTTGCAAATTAGGCATTCCAACGACCTGTCAAACAATAGGTACCAGTGGGAAATTCTTGTATATTTAAGGGGGGTAGCGACATAGTCTTGCAACTTGGACACTATTTTTATTCGAAGTAGTACTCGCCAAGCCTGCCAATTTATGAAAAAATGTATAGGTGGGTTTTTTAAATATTATTTTTATTGTGTTTTACATAAAATATTTAAATGTAATCCATTATTTATGATTTTACGTAAAGTAGATAAAATACACCATATGTCGCCACCCTTAGATATACCAAACCTGCCCACTGGTAATTCATTTGTTTGGAATGCCTAATACTATGGATCCCAAATACATGGGAAGACGACTTACAGGGGAAGAAGAGGAAACAGTCGAACAATGGGTTGCATCGAATCTTTCTGATAAGTTTTTGGCAGTGATGTTATCGTTCAAGATTAAGGACACAGATATGTTCCCCACAACACTTTTCAAAGAAGAACTTGTCAAAAAATTCTCAACAAATTTTGTACTTATGTTATCTTTGTTCTCATGTCCAACTTCATCTGCATCTATTAAGCGGATTTTTTCTTCATATGGATTAGGCAACAGATTAGGTGCGATAGAGCTGCAAACTTAGTAAAAATATACGAGGATGTATCAGAAAATAACGAGACTGGTGCTATAGTATAACAACGAAACATTTATTTAAAAAAATTCAACAACTATCCTTCGAAGTACTCTCCATTCTGTTGAATACACTTATTCCATTGCTTTGTCCACTTATCATAAACTTCTGAGAAACCATTTTTTGATAGTCTGTTTAGTATACCCATCACAGCGTTGTTGAGCTCTAAATCCGACTCAAATCTTCTACCTCTCAATTCTTTTTTGACTTCAGGAAACAAATGGAAGTCACATGGAGCAAGGTCAGGAGAGTAGGGGGGATGAACCATAATTTCAACCCCTAATTATTCAATTGTTCGTTGATAAATGATTGATCTATGAGCCGGAGCATTGTCGTGATGCAGCGTCCAGCCAAAGTCCTGATAAAGCGGCCTTTTTTTCTTTAATTTTGCCTTTAAGGGTCCTCGAAGTATATTAGAATAGTACTCCCCTGTTACTGTATGTCCTCTAGGTACAATGTGATCGTAAATAACGCCAAATTTATCAAAAAAAATCAGGTGCATCACTTTACCAGCGCTTTTAGCAGTTTTGGCCTTCTGCGGTCTTGGGCTACCTTTATGCTTCCATTGCATACTTTGAGACTTCAATTCAGGATCGTAATGATAAAACCAACTTTCGTCACATGTAACCACAATATTTAAAAACTGTGGGTTACGTTGCAATTGCCTTTTCCACTGCTGACAAATTGTCACTCGATTCGCTTTTTGTTCATCGGTCATCACTTTTGGAATCCATCTTGCCGCGATCTTCCGGTACTCTAAATCTTCATGAATAATTTTTTGAGTGGTACCGTAAGACAAATTACCATTGTCAGAAATTCGTTTTATGCCAATCCGGCGATCATTTTGTATCAAGTCGTTAATTTCTGCAATTTTTGTGTCATTTCTCGCAGTTTGTGGTCGACCGGGACGAGGTTCATCTTCAACTGATTCACAACCGTCTTTAAACTTTTTATGCCACTCAAACACTCTACATCGTGATAAACTATTATCTAGATATGCACCTTTAATCATTTCAAAAGTTTCAGTTGGTGTTTTACCCAATCGAACACAAAATTTTATCGCGTATCTTTGCTCCACTTTCATTTTTCGATGGGTACGCAAAACACTGACAATTCAATAATTAATTTGTAACAAATGTCAAAAGTTAAATCAAAGCCTACTTGCGGGGTAGTACATTAAATATAAGGCTTTCATGTCTCATTTTTTGGGTTATAAAATGTTACCTCTGAAAGAAGATATAGCACCAGTCTCGTTATATACTGATATATCCTCGTATAATAATTTAAGAACTAAGTCTAAGGAATGGTAATGTGACAAAAATACAGATTCTGATTTTCCTCATAACTAATATGCTTTGTTTAACAAAAAATTGTTCATTTTTTTATTTCTCTATATACCATATTTAAAATAAGTGTTTTGTTAGTTTAGTTTCTCTCGTTTTGTATTCACCTACTACTTACTTTGTTATTTATGCTAGTTTTTGTTTTTATTCAGAAATAAATATATGTATATTTGCTATTATTGAAAAAACCCAATAATAGTGGGTTTTATCAAGATAGAGATATATATTTATTGAAGTAGGATAAACCTAATATACAATTATTATTAACATTAACATAATCTGAGTTAAGAAAAATAAATTTGTTACACATTACAAAGATCTTGAGTTTAGACAGCCTTAATTAAACAATAAAACAAATAATAGTTGAAAGCATCCAAATATTAAAAAAGAATAATAAAAAAGTAAAATAAAAAAGTAATAATCAAATATATAAAAGTTAAAATCAAATTTTATCAGTTTTAATAAAAGTTGTCATTTTGTTTTAAACTTGTTAATGAATTACAATCCTTCAAGCCCCTGGGCAGATCATTATATTCTTGGAAACTATACAATAACGATGCCTGTGATTTCGAATAATTAACTTTTTTAATGTATATATCATTAGTAGATCTTGCGCTGTAATCATGAATATCCCCATGATAACAAATACATTGATGAAAGTAGGATGGAGCCAACGAATGAATTATTTTATAAATAAACATAATTGTCAAGTAGTACAACCTTTGCTGAATCGAAAACCAGTGAAGAGAATTTAACATTGTGGCAATTGGTGTTATTTTAGTTGAAGTTGACAAGTTATTTGAAATTCTAGAGAAGAAATATAATTTTTTCAAAATTTTTTTATTAATACAATTAAAGAAATCATTAAAAGTAAGTAGATTATCTAATTGGATACCTAAACACTTAATAGTTGGGACTATTGCGATTTTTTCACCATTTATTTGTAAATTAACATCATTGATATCAAGTAAGCTATATTTATGTTTAGTTGTAACAATAAGTGCTTTTGTTTTAGTTACATTCAATTTCAATTTGTTAAGTTGAAAATACTGGACAACTTTCTCCAGTAGTTTATTCATTTTCTCGATTGTACTCATTAAATTTATATCAGAGCATGTGCTAGCAGAGTGTCATCAGCAAAGAGATTAATGAATTCACAATCAACAAACAGTCCAATATCATGCAAATATAGTATAAAAAGCAACGGCCCTAGGACACTTCCTTGCGGAACCAATATTAATCTAGGGTGATATCTGATTGTTAAAATGTACTTTTTGTCTACGACCTTGCATTCAACCACTGGTATACTTTTCCACCTCCACCATATTGTTGAATTTTCTTAAGTAAAATACCCTTATCAATGGTCTCAAATGCACTTTTCAGTTCTAAAAATACAGCTACTACATATTTATTCTCATCCACATCATTTTTAAATTTACTCACTATTAACTGTAATGCAGACTCACAGGAATACTTTTTTCTGAACCCAAACGGTCAGTTATTAAAATAAAATTATTATTAACATGTTCAAGTAGTTAATATGTTCATACACAACCAGTTCTAATACCTTTTCAATTGACGGGAGAGTATTTACAGGCCTAAATTCTTCCGATTTTATTGTATTATAACTTTTTGAATTGGAACAATAGTACTAATTTTTAGTTGAGATGGAACTTTGCCAGTATCAAGTTATTAATTAAGTTTAAAATAATGTGCCCAATTGTTGCATACACTTCCTTTAGAACTTTAGAATATTAAATATAGAATATTTATTATCTAACGAGTTCAAAATTTTATACAAGTCATGTAAAGTTAGTAAATTAAAGTTGTGAAATGGTAAGTATAAATTATTGTTTAGATTATGCCAGGGAACAGTTGCATCAATACTTCCAATAATATCCATAATACTTTCAACAAAATATTTGTTAAATTTAGTTGCTATGTCAACATTATCACAAAGGATAATATGGCCTGTTTGATCACTAAATTAAACATGATCAGTCACATCATTTAATTTAATATTTATTAGTTTTTTTAAAGTTATCCACATTTCTTTAGGATTGTCTTTGAAACAATCAATTTTATTAAAATGATAAGTAGATCTTTTTGATTTCAGCACATTAACTACCTCATTTCTACATTTTCTAAATTTATTCCACATATTCAGCTTTTGATGTTCTGCACATGACTTGAAAGACTTCTAAGCATTATCTCGGATTTTAGTATTGTAAACCTCATTATCAAACCATGGTACATTAGGATTATACTTACATGTCTTAATAGGGGCAACCTTATTATTAACTATTTCACAATTTGAATATAACTCATGATAAATTACTTCAACATCAATAGTATTAAGATTCCAGTTGCACATAATCAGATCATTTTGTATATTAAAAATGTTAGTTTCATTATAATTCCTATAATTTTTTATAACTTTGTTTGAAGTATTGCTTGTATTGGAAAAAAATACAGAAATCACAGAATGATCACTGATTTTCAGAGCATCATGAACTTCAGCATCACAATTGAAAAAACTCACTGGGTTTTACAACATGGGGAAATTATATGCCAACCCTGACTATTTGTCATATAGTCAAAAATTACACCTGACACATGAATTCTCAAACCTTCAAAATCTGTATCAGCAAAAATACCCTGCTTTCGAAAAAAACATCATTATTCCTAAATTCAACAAGAAAATAATTGTTTCCCAAAATAGAAATTCTTTAATTTTCCAACAAATTTACAAAGTTGCTTGGTGGGGAGATAAACTCACATTTACTTACCTTCTCAAATATTATTTAATTAATAATTTTATATATTAAATTCAAACTAACATAAATGCAACTTTCTTTATTAATTACTGTAATATATATAAAAAAAGTCTTACTAGTTAATAAGGCCTAGACCTATTGTTGTAGTTATTTGAGTAACCCTTTCTTACAGAGTTCCAAGAATCAGGAGGTGTTATAGCGATATCAAGGTAGTCTCCAATATTTAGTCTTAGCATTCCCAAAGTTTTTAAATCTTCTGGCCCTTTCACTCCTGTCATTGTAGATCCAATTTCTATTACTCGATAAATTGGCTGTCTGAATTCTGGGTAGACTTTAGCAAAACTGAATTTTGTACCTGAAAATATGTTCAGTGAAGTTTACAAAAATAAGGAAAATAAATTATATTACCTTTTCGTCGTGCTTCAGGATTTACTTCTTTGACTAGTTGGGTAATTTCATGTAAAGTGGCATCTTTCCATGTGTATATTTGGAGTTCATTTTGAGGGGTATTACCTTTTATATAATCTGAGGGTTTGTGGTGAGATCCATTTGAAGAGACAAATACTCTTAATAAAAACGGACATACCTAAAATTTAAAAACTAATGAATTTCCAGCAATCTGACGCCCATTCAGAGCATTATGGATTTATGTGAAAATAAAAATGTATACAATAATAGAAGAGGGCGCTATACATAACTTAAAACCACTCCAAATCCTAAACCTAATTTAGAAGATAGAATTGGAAGGGTCCGTATAGGCATCAAAACTATTTGCTTGCTGCATTAGCGGACAGAAGGAGGCACAATAGATCTTTTACGCAGCAGTGTATTAATACCCCATACCTAACATAACATTCTTCTCATGAAAGTGTTTCAAGATAAAATAGGGTAGATTATCATTCAAAACAACCCTATCAATGCAAATCAAATATCCCACGACCAACTATGGAGAAAACGAATTCAAATTGTTTGGGGACGCGGAAGTAAACAGGGACTCTGAAGGGCCCCGAAACCGGCGCTCATTTAAAATTATTTAGTTACCTTTTGTCTATCAATAGCATCTTCCTTTTTTTCTTCCATAACTATTGTAGATGCAGCCATTTGAATTCAGTAAATTCGATATATAATTATTTTCCAGATTTTCAGCACAATGCACAATATTTTCAGTTGTTTTTATTTTTTTTATAAGCACAAATCAAAACAATGCCAAATAAAAATTAAAACTGACAACTGATAGGTTTATTTCCTCTTCTTATTTTGTTGGTTTAACACTCATAAGCATAAAGCCACATTTTTGCAAATTAGCAGTTCTACTCATAAAGTGGCGGTAGGAAATTGTAACAAAGCCTACATACTGTATATATTTACATCTTTTAAAAATACCGAGGATAAGGATTTGTAAATAACACAGTGGTAAATAGTCATCATTTTAGTCACACGTATCGTGGTCACACGAAAAAATGCTATCATTTAAATGTCATTTGTCATTTCGCCATTCGTCACTTGTCAAATCAAATATGTCAATGTCAAATTACCGGCCGAGCGGGTACATTTAACATTTGTGAATATTTGATTTTGGAAATAAAATCGTCTGAATTCCAAGTACGCGAGATATCAAATTATATTTAAAATTTTCTTAGACATCTATATAATAATTTAAAATGTTAATAAAAGTGAAGGTAAATTAATTAGTTGTATTTAACTTAATAAAAATCTGTTTCATTTTAAAATAATTTTTAGACACTTACTGGAAAAGAAATCGAAATAGATATAGAACCCACAGATAAAGTCGAAAGAATAAAGGAGCGAGTCGAAGAAAAAGAAGGCATACCTCCCCAGCAGCAGCGGTTAATCTTTTCTGGAAAGCAAATGTATGCAAACATTTATACAAGTTCTCTAGGCCTTAATTTTGATTTCCCTTTTGATTGAATAGGTTATTTAAAAGAAATTAAACTAGTGCCGTTTAAAACGGATGAAATATTGTTGGGCAAAAAGTTACAACAGATATTAAGAAATACTTTGTGTCCAGAGCTATTATTTATATTTACAGTTTTTCTATTTTTGTTAAATTGATAGATACTCCCTAATCTCAGAATAATGTGATGCATGTAATTTAAAAAATGAGTAACTCCACATTAAAATAATTGTCTCAAATTTCATAAGAGAGAGCAAGATCAGCAACTTTAAATCCATTTGGAGCAAACGTCATATGCTATAGTAGTTAATAATAAAAAATTGAGCTTAGTGGAATCTTCTGTAAAATATGAAAATAAAATGGACAGATATTGTTAAGGGCCAATTTTTTCAACTCAGATAACAGCAGATTAACGAACTATAGCCTGATCAGCAAGTAGTTACTTGCAACTGTACTTGCAGGTGAAAAGATGCCATAAAAATATACTTTTTATGATGTTAAGTCTGGTATTAGTTCAGTACCTATGTGGTAAAATAATTATTAACCTATAAAATATATATTGTGGGTTCCTCTTAATTGTTCAATATATGACCTAGGATATTTTTTTACTGTTTCATATAAGGAAGATGTAAAATCAATAATGAATAATTTAGACAACAGAGGATTAATTCAAATATGAACTATTATCTTACACCTTCACACATAGATACTAGGATTAACATTTTCATAAAGCCCTTTATTGAACTTTAAGAATGTTCTTGTTTATTATTAAATTTTAAAATGCGATATTTTTTATTTTACTGTTATTTTCTTTATGGGATTATGGTATAAATAAGCAGCTGCTTCAATTGATGGATCTATTAAAGGAATTTACTGTATATATGAAAACACCTTAATTCTAATTACTAAAATTTTATTTTAGGAATGATGAAAAAACGGCACAAGATTATAAAGTTCAAGGTGGTTCAGTACTGCATTTAGTTTTGGCGCTTCGTGGTGGCAAACCTGCATAAAATTAAATGGTACATACATGTTTGTCTAGGATATACTTTAAATTATACTTTAATATGTACTCATTAAGTAAAAAATATTACTATCTGATGAATAAAGATTTTTATATTTATTCCTATTTATTTCAATACTTCTCATTTAAAATGTTGTTTCTTTGTGTCCATAAATTTGACTAGAAACTCACACCCTATTTTACCTATATAATGAGCAGTAGGTACATCAGTATCCATGTTATTGCACCATGAGGTGTACCTATTATATTATTGTGCAGAGTATTTATGGTGATTTTTAAAATTAACATGGAAAAACATATTTTATTTGATTGCATTAGAGTGTTAACATTTGAAGACATTAACAGTAAGTAAAGAAATATCTAAAACTACATAAAAATTTGGATATAAACAATAAAGCTGTTCTAACCTCAAATTTTGTTCACGAATTAAAATAATAGAATGTCTATAATAAAAGAATACAAAAATATTTTTCGTCGAGGAACTGAGAAACGTAGAATTACAATCTATCGATATAGATTTGAACGTTAAAAATTATTCCATTTAGGTATTCCAAACAAAATGGTTACCCGTGGGCAGATCTGTGCCCGTGGGTAATGATAGATGACAGGTTATGATATGGCAACCCTGTGTAACTGGTGATTTGACAAAAGCCAATGCTATAGACAGTTATATAGATTGATCAGCTAGTTTCAAAAGGCAATATGGCCGCTCGCAAAAAAACAGGTCCACAGGATTGCCGTTGCCATATCACATCCCACGGGCCACATACTTTGATTTTCTTTTACTATACGGAGAATGGTCGCACTGCGCAGCTTTCTGAGTGCCTTTTAAAAGGAGATAGAAAACTCCGCCATTTTGAACTCTTATTACGTGTTGCCTACATCTTGGCGCAATATTTTTAATAGGTGCGTTTTAATCATCCGCTTCTGCTTCGGAATTGTCGGTTTTCTTGTTTTAATCTGACAGGTTAAACCGGAAGCAGAAGCCCTGAAATGTGTGACTTAAATAAAAAAATTAGTAGATATTTTGGTTGCGCCACTGGCTTATCTCAAGCAGCCATAACAGATGCTCGGATTTGTGACATACAACATTTTAACTTTTTAATCTTGACTCCTGGGGGGCTATTTTCAAACTCGAGAGAATTCATTTCTCTCAAGAGAAATGTCATACGTCAACGTAAAACCGTATTTTTAGGGCTCTTAGGGCCAGTGTGAACTCACTGACTGTTTCTCTCGGTTTATTTAGAGAGAATTAAAATCTTCCTAAGAATTTTAATCCTCGATGCCTTTAAAAACAACATTTCCACATTGACGTATGACATTTCTGATGAGAATCTTGAGAGAAATGAGTGCTCCCATACTTTGAAAATAGCCCCCCTGGAGAACGATATAGAAACAAAATGCTATTGAATAAAGATAAATATAATAATACCTCGCCAACGGTGGATCGCAATACTCAATCTTTACAGTCGAAAGAGCGTGGTTAAACTAATTACTCTCTTTAATCATCTCACGTCTCATCTTTATTTTGTTTAACATCGGTTGACGTACTGTATATGCTCTTTTTTTATCCGAGCAGACTTAACAATAAACTGCAAAGCATATACCTACCTTTTGTTATTCACTTAAATTTTTTCCACTATTTTTTTTTTCTCGAAAAATTGTAAAAACACTATATTTCAGATACGGAGTGGATAGAATTGCTGGATCTTAAATTGGAAGAAGTTTATGGCAAATTACAAATTAACTATGAACAAACTTTTACTACCTTGACAAGTATAACTTCACTTAATTTTTCGAAAAATATTACATCAGAATGGAAATATGTTTGTTTAGGATTCTACATTATTAAAACATTAATCCCGCTAATCGATAAATCGGAGAAACTATTTTTAAGCGTACAAGAAACAAAAGATTTTAAAAAGTTTTTAAAAACTATGATATATATTGGTATTTCTACGAAACTGCAACCGAACTTACCATTTTATTCAAAAACAAAATTTCCTGAAAATGGAGATATATTTTGGAATTATAATGTCCTTAAATGTGTTACGTTCGGTTTAACAGAACTTTTAAAAATACCAGTCTTAAGGATTTCTATAATACCAGAAGCTTTTAAAGACATTTTGGTCGCTTTATATCAAATTTCTTACTGCCCTTTAAAAAAACCAGTCACTGCAATTGGAAATAGTGACACGAGTGAGATTGTAACTAAAGAAATTTACGAAAAACTACTTCAAGAACAACAGTGTTTTATAAAAATTTTAAACCATCTAGAAAAGACGGTTCATCCAAATATATTTGTCAAAAACACAATGATGATTATGCATAAAAATTCCCCTACTTGGTTTAGAAAACATGTATCACATACTTTAACAAATTTTCTGCGATCCGAAAATGGTGTAGAACTTGTAGCTGTAGCTCTCTTTAGCGATCATGAAAATGACACCGCACATATTTGGAAAATTTTAGAAATATTTTCAAAGCTTATTTTAAGTTGTAAAAAGTTCTCGGACTTCAAGGAAAATATCTGCAAACAGTTAATTAAGCTTTTAAATAAACAACAAGAGGAAAAATCTTTCGCAGAAATAATTTTTCCTTATTGCACAAAGGCTTTTTATAAAGAAGATCAAGAAATATGCAAATCGATTTTTATTAGGGAAATCATAAGTCCATTGCTTTATTTTACTTACAATACTCATAAGTTTACCGATGAAAACATTACTGCAAAACTAAATCTGACTATAAGAATGCTACATGCTGTTTTTGTTCAGAATGCCGCAGAAGAAAACGTTGTACCTGTAAATATTCTTCAACCTGTCATTTATGTGATATTTCGATTTTATGCTTTAACTCAACAAAGTTCATTTGAAGCTCTGAACAATGATCTGAAAGATATTTTAATCCATTATTTAGAACACCAGTCCAATAATTACATAAACATTTTTGACAGATTTTTATTCGATTTAGACTGTAAAGAAATTCTTTCATTTAGAAATGACATTGTCATACAAGTCGATGCAGAAAATATAAAATTATGCAAATCAGAACATTCAGTTAATTATTCTTCGGCAGCAAGTTTTGAATATTTATTTAAATTAATTAAATTAAAACCAAATTTGCTAGTTAATCTATTTAGTTACCTATTAAATTGTATTACAAACGAGAACAAGTATTTTCGAAAGGATAATGATGATCTGCTAGATGTGGAAGATTATTTAAGTAATGAATATTTCGCAAGAAAAATATCTGTTTATAAATTACTATCAGAACTTGCAGAAGAAAAATGTGTTCAAAACCAATTAAATGAAAACCCTACTGACATAGTTCAGTACGTTTGTAAAGTTTTAAATAAAACCATAGAGTTGGGCACACACTTATTGGAAGATAGTGACAGTGATGGCTATCAGTCAGTGTTTACTATACTTATTATCTTAGAGAATTTATTATCAAATTCATCAACACACGATCCTAAAAAATATAACACATTATTAGAACCATTGGTAAAGATACAATCAGAAACAAAAAATAAAGAAATGAAAGATATTATAAAATCAATTTTAAATACTTTAGAAGGAACAGTAAAAAGTAGGTCTAAGCCAATTGATAAAGAATCTAAAACTGAATTAGATAAAGCAATTGACGACATCTGCGATGCCCTAATTCCAACCAGAGGCCATGGACTATTAACACTTACTAAACTGATTGCAAAAAGGGATAAAAATACCATTGAACGAAAGCAATTTGTACTCAATATACTACAGGTAATATTTAACCTTAAACGTTTCAATATTAATACAAAATATTTTTAAAATTTTAGCAAAATCTAACGAACGAAGATTCCTTCATTTATTTGAATGCTATCAATGGTCTTGCTTCAATGGCAGATCTTTTTCCTGATACAATACTAAATATTTTATGTGAAGAATATTCGGATTCTAGCAGAAAACGTACTGAAGATAATTCTGAAGTAAGAATGAAACTGGGAGAGGTTTTACTAAGAGTCTCGAAAGGTTTAGGTGAGTTTTTATTATATAAAATAAAAGTAGGTAGGGTCCGATTACAATAATAAGAATACAACTACGTCATCACTTGGAGGAATAATTTGTTGGCTATCGCCGCCTACTGGCGGTTTAGTGACATGTTAATGTTATAGGAATATAACAATTATTCTATTAAACCAATCAACTCACTTATTCCTTGTTTATTGATAGTTGCAGGTGTTATATACTTGAAATTCGAAATAATGGTTAGGACGTAGTGGTCTTTTTATTGTAATCGGATTCTACATATTCATTTAATTGATTTTAATGGTATTTTAATTACAAATTTATGTTTTGATGTCATCTTAAATCTTAAAGATGATAAGTCCTAGGTTATAGTGTCTTAAAAATGACTTTACGCATTGCTCTATTTCTATCAGTTTTTTCTATTCTTTCTTGAATCCTTAAACTTCAAGTATAAACTTCAAGTAATGGCAATTCATTGGTTGTCTGGCATTCACAAGTTGTCATTTTGTCACAACGCGTGGTAGTTGGCCGGTCTCATTTCGCCAGCAGTAATTACTGAAAAGCATACACATTGCCAACAGTTTTCCATAATATTAATGTTAACGTTCCTTTAATGAGCTTGCTATTATAAGAAATGATATTTGGCGTTTGAATTCCTCCAATAAATTCGAGTGGAGGGCCAATAATGGGCAGTTGATAAATGAGTCCTCCTCCTTTGTTCACACATTTTAATTTATATTTCAAGTTATATACAATTATTTAAAATAATTGTTATATTCGTTACAATTAAAAACAATTTGTTTAATAGGGGTCCAAAATGTCTTCTCGGTTTCAAAATTTTTAGTTAGTTTATCACTAAATCTTTGACTAATCTTTTGCTTTTCTTCTCCATTTATTTTTCAACGAATTCTGCTTTTGTATTATTATCTTTTTTGTCATTTCCTCCTTTCTTTTTTATTACATTCTTTATAAGTATATCATTAATTCATCAAAACAAGGTTGTAAAACTAGGTTGTAAAACTAAGTAAAACAAAGTAAAACCCGAGAATACCAGTATTCTCGGGTAAAACCAAGTAAAACAACTAAGTAAAACTAAGTAAAACTAAGTAAAACTAAGTAAAACTAAGTAAAACTAAGTAAAACTAAGTAAAACTAAGTAAAACTAAGTAAAACTAAGTAAAACTAAGTAAAACTAAGTAAAACTAAGTAAAACTAAGTAAAACTAAGTAAAACTAAGTAAAACTAAGTAAAACTAAGTAAAACTAAGTAAAACTAAGTAAAACTAAGTAAAACTAAGTAAAACTAAGTAAAACTAAGTAAAACTAAGTAAAACTAAGTAAAACTAAGTAAAACTAAATAGTTTTAGTAAAAATTTTAGAAGAAAAATTGATTTTCGAGATTAAAATTTTCAAGAGGTAGATTTCAACAGAAAAATGGAAAAATGGCAGTGGCTATGTTCTAACTCATTTTTTTCATCATAATTTTTTCCGTCATTTTTTTATCAACATTGTTTCCTCATTATTTTATTAGTAGCATTTTTTGTTAACTAATTTTTTTATTGACATTTTTATGACATTATTTTCTATATGTTGGTTGTAAAATTATGTTATAAATTAGGTTGTAAAATTAGGAGTAAAACTAGGTTGGAAAATTAAATTGTTTTTATAAAAATTTTAGAAACATTTTTTTAAAATTGGATTGGATTTCAACAGAAAAGTGGCAAAATTAACTTTTTTCATCAAAATTTTTTTGTATACATTTTTTAATTGATATTTTTATTATTTTGCGTATGTTGGTTGTATAACTAGGTTGAAAAATTGAATTGTAGAAGCTATTGGATTGTAGAATCTGAGTAAACTGAGTTGTAAAACTAGGTTGTATAACTGGTAACCATTTTAATTTGTTCGCCTTTATCTTTTAATTATATCTTCCTTCGTCGTCCTTCCTCTAATTTGTTTAATCCAGGTCCAAAATTTCTTGTCTGTTTCACAATTTTTTACCCTTTCAGGCATCTTTCTGTTCCCCCCCAAAGAATTTCGGCAGACTTCCTCCAATCAGGCTTGGGTCCAGCCACTGGCTCCCCTTAATCAGGTTAGGGGTTTCTTCTGCTTTCCCTCCTCTTGCGGTTTATATAGCGGCACTGAGACGCAGGTGGTGTATTCTACCACCATTTGGATGCCCTACTCCTTCCCATTCATCACATACATACATACATTCATTCATTCATTATCTTTCATTCCACGTCATCGATGATTAACCACTAGTCGGCTAACGATCACTCATCTAAGACATGACCGAAGACATCACGGATTAACTGCCGCGAGAACCTGAATGCACACTAGTCTCGCAGCTAGCCTCTCTGGTACAATTTTAACTTAGTTCCTCTCCAAACTGTTTTGCGTTCCTTCTTCATTTCTTTTTCAATGAATTCTGCTTTTGTATTTATAAGGACAATCATTTTCTCCATGGTTTTTTCTCTTTTATTACATTCTTTAGTATGTATGATTATTCCACCAGTGTGTTCTTTTTTTTATGAATTCATATTTCGTGTATCACATAACTTTTTGCTTAATTTAAAGAACGTTTCTAAACAAAGAATATTTTCCATAGTTATCCCATTTGGATTTTCAAAATATTACGAATTCAATCGAGTTTATAGGCTTAATTAATTTGATCTTATTCTAAAATGTTTCCATAAATATATAACTGAATTTAAAAAAATTGACTTAATGCATAATGGTCCATTTAGTTATTTAATAACTAACTTGATACCGTACTGGTTATGATGTTTTTGCTTTCTATTAAAGTGTTTATCTTTATTTTTTATTAGGACCTTTGAAAATAATAAGAAATATGCCACCACACCTTAATAACCTTAGTTGTAACAGTATGTCGAAAATTTATGATAATCTACATAGAAATTGTAACTGTACCTCATATCTCTTTTTTTATAAGTATTTTATGTATCGCTCAATGCAGAAATACTAAAATTTTATTTGCTACATAAATACGGTATATTTATTATTTAAACAGCTTCCGGACATTCTTGCAACTGCGACGATCTTATTGCATAATAAATGAAATTGTCTATTTCAATTATTGATTCTAGTTTCTTGTTTAACAACCAGCTGTTGGGGAATTAGAGTAATATTCTTAAATTAACCAATCAGGATATGTAAAGTAAATAATTAAGATTATAATATACAGGGTAGGATACACGAGATTTAATTTGCGTATACAGCAGTGGCGACTTGTTATCTATTATACGGGGAGAGCCCGTTATAACACTGGCAATGCTCATTATTCGTTTCCTACTCACTGTAGTTTACATACACTTCTGCAGAACGTATATGAAAAATACAGTGATACTGCGGCCTTAATCCCTCTCTGGTTAATAAAAGCCGGAAAGTAAGTAGGTAGGTATTCGAAATTAAGTATTTGATTTTATTCTAGAACACATCCGTTTCTCAACAGGAACGAATAGAAACAATGAATTTCAAATGACAAATTAGATAACAACAATAGATTTAATCCCCGTATTTATTATTTTTTCTCGTGTCAATCTCGAAGCGCTTACGTAATTCATTCTCAGGGAGATTATTCATGCATTTCACACAGTAGATTATATGCTTTTTGAAGTACAAATGAATGCCTTTGTAATTTTAATTACAATAGGTTAAAAATTATACTAAAAATAATGGAAACAGAAATATCTTTCACATGACTTGGGTACATATTATATTTTATGTTACAAAGATACAAAGTGAGTTAAAGATGAACATTTGGAAACAAAAAATATATTTTACAAGGACGTTGTTGATTTAATTTTTTAGATATACAATGAAAATGAAAATAATTATATATTTTTTCAAAGTATTTACATATATCATTAAAATGTTTTTATTATATTTTTAAATTGTTTGTGTGTATACTGAGTAGGCAACAAATTAAGATTTTTTGATAAATCTTGGAGCCTTTTATTTATGTTGACTATAGAGTCATTCCATTTAAAATCGTCTAATTGGCAAAGCTGACCCAATGAATCGGCAACAACTTTTTTTATTTTCAGACGATTTTGTATGGAATGACTCTATATGCACAGCATTTTGTGGGGGATCTCAGGGGTCCATGAACCCCCTCCCCTCAGGTGAAGGGTTACAATATATACAGTAGTTTCAAGTCTGTGCAAATTGCTACTATTACTGAACAAAAGAAAGAATAAGTAAGAGTTGAGGAACTAAAAAATAACGTCTTCTAGTGCGCCTCGTGTTTATCTTTGCTTTGGGTTGAAGAGCAAAAGAAAAAAAAAAAGTTTTCAGCTCGTCCCGAAAATTAAGTCTCGAGATGCCATTGGTAAGACAAGGGACATGGACAGAACTGCCCAATGTATGATATTATCTTTGTATGAAGATATTATAGTAATATAATTTTTTTTATTAAAAGTGGTAACAAAATCTGAGACGTCTAATAGTGCCGGATTTCTACCGACTAAAAAACATACACTCTTTTTTACAGGAAAGTCTCCTCGGAATCACCAGTCGGCATAATTTCGAAGAGACGTGATGTAAGGATGGTCACAGGTACTTCTTAACAAGTTTTTTTGGTTATGCTCATATATTCCTTCTTCTAAAATCTCTCTCCTTTTGTCCCAGTATCTTTTTCATCATGTTACCTATCTGTTGCCATTGCTCTATGTTACTGGTCATGACGCCTAAAATGTTTTCTCTAAAGAGCCTAATTCCAATACGTTCTTCTAGCTCTAGCCTGATCTCTTTCCATTCTTCGCATTGAAACAGGGTATGATGCTCTACTGTATTCACATTCGGACAGTAAATGTAATCGTGTTGCTCAGTCACACCTAATCTATTCAGTTAATCCATAAACCAGCCTTGACCAGTTAGACATTGAGTAATATAAAATGTGACGCTTCCTAGTTTTCGTTTATTCCATTTTTCAATATTAGGTATGAGTGTGTACGTCCATCTTCTTTTTACTTTCCTATCTGTATACAGATATAAGGAAAGTATAGGAATCATGATTTTTTTCGACCTCGAGTTTTCGACGGATTTTTACGTTTTGAGGTCCCCTGAATCCGTTTTGACTATTTTCGCGATGATATCTTTCTGTCTGTGTGTGTGTGTGTGTGTCTGTGTGTGTGTGTGTCTGTATAACGCATAACTCATGAACCGATACACAAAAAAACACCAAATTTTAAACTTAAGCTTTGTTTCAGCGTCCAATGAGCTGATTAGATTTTGGGCAGAGTCGGAACATCTGGGGGGGTACTTTATAGGTGGTCATTTTTATATTTTATGGAATATATCTGTTATTTACGTTTGGAGAAGAAAATTCTTCAAATAAAAGTTACTTCTAATATAATTATCTATAATTTTTGTTTTATGCAAAATTTTCCTAAAATGGTCCGTATTCGAGAAATTTGAGAAAATGTAAAAAAAATAATTTTTTATAAAAATTGTTCAAATAAAAGTTGTTTGTAATATAATTTTCTATAATTTTTGTCCTATACATAATTTCTCTAAAATGGACCGTATTCGAGATATTTGAGAAAATGTGTAAATTTCGAAATTTGAAGAAAACTCAAAAACGGATAAAGGAAAAAACATTAAATTTTAAACTTAAGGTTTATTTCGGCCTGACGTGAAATGATTAGATTTTGGACAAAGTCGGAACATCTGGGGGGTACTTTATGGGAGGCCGTTTTTATATTTTATGGAATATATCTGTTATTTATGTTTGGAGAAGAAAATTGTTCAAATAAAAGTTACTTCTAATATTATTATCTATAATTTTTGTTCTATGTCAAAATTTCCTGAAATGGTCCGTATTCGAGAAATTTGACAAAATGTGCAAAATTCTGATTTTTATGAAAATTGTTGAACTAAAAGTTGTTTGCGATATCGATTTCTATAATTTTTGTTTATATATGATTTTTCTAAAATGGACCGTAATGGAAAAGTGCTAAATTTAAATTTTTCTGTATTTTCGTTTTCAATGAATATCTATAGAAAAATGTTTCGAGGTAGATGTATGTGGAAAATGTATATATTTAGTTTATCCTCTAAACATTTATAGAGATGCTGCAATAGGTTGTACAAAATAACCGGAAAATGCCTATAATAACTAGATAGGAAAGTCATGTGTTGGACACATCAGATTTTTTCATATGTTTCCCATTTTTTCTGCCACGTTCCTAAAATTTTTGTTCTAGCTTCTTTCTTTTCAGCTATGGTTTTACCTTGAACTTCACATATTTCTTTAATAAGCAAGTCTACGGGTATAATTCCGGAGATAATGAGGCTGCTTTCCATAGATATTGTTTTATATCCCCTGCAGATTCTGATCGCCATCGTTCTTTGTAATTGTGCTAACTTTTTTCGGTTCATTTTTCTATGCAAAGCATTTTTCCAAATTTCTGATGCATACATTAGGATTGAATAGACTACTGTTCCCAATAGTCTTTTCTTTGTTTCCGTAGCTCCCCCTTTATTAGATATTAGTCTTATTAACGAGGCCATAACCTTCTTTGCTTTAGCTACTGCATTTTCGTGTTCCTTATATGATAAGCTTCTATCTAATGTGACCCCCAGGTATTGTATACTATTTTTTGGTATAATAGGGACTTCTTCAATTGTAAACGTAATTGGTCTACTCAGTTTTTTCCTACCAATTAGTAACACCGCCTTTGTTTTTTGCGGTGCTAGTTTAAGATCATTTAGTTTTATCTACTTGCTGATTTGTTCCAGAATGGTGTTAACCGAAATTATGAGGCCTGCCTCCGTTCTGTCTGTGACTATGACTGCTAAGTCATCTGCGTAGGCAATGCGATTAATATGTGGCGTTGTCTCTATGCGTAATATTCTACCAAATAGGATATTCCACAGTAGTGGATCCAAGACAGATCTCTGACTAACTCCAGCTGCTATCATATATTCTTCTACATTATCATCTATGATTTTCCGGTAAAGTAGCTAGCGACTAGTATTCGTAGGTATTTAGATATTTGGCGCCTTCTTAGTTGTCTATGATGTTCCAAGAAGCTGCATTAAACGCATTTTTGACGTCCAGAGTGAGTAGAGCATTCAGGCATTTTGATCTTTGATTTTTTTCCATTTCGCTTTTGGCAACCTTGACTGTATGCACAGTAGACATGCCCTTTCTGAATCCGTATTGCCTTTCGCAGAAATCCCCTTTTTGCTTAAGTTCGTCATTTAATCTTGTTGCGATTATTTGTTTCATTAATTTCCCCATTGAATCAAGTAGACATACGGGTCGAAAAGAAGACGGTTGTTCTTCTTTCTTTCCGGGCTTCTTAAAGAGAACCAATTTTTCAATTTTCCATTGCGTTGGAAAAACCCCACTTTTTTTTAATTCCATCAGCCATCTCTCGGAAACATTCTGGGAGTTCGTTAACAGTTAATTTAACTATTTCGGACGGTATCCCGTCGGGCCCTGGAGCTTTACGATTTTTGAGAATCTTGGCAGCCGTTTCCAATTCTTTCATAGTCACATCCGGGATATCCTCGTCCTTCCCTTGTTAGGGTATCCACACCTTTAATCATTGCTTAGGAAATAGGGTATTGATAATTTCTTTTTTAAATTTTGGTGGTCTTGATTTCATTTTCCCCATAACTATTTGGTATGCTTTTCCACAAGGATCTTCTTCTACTGCTTCGCAGAGTTTCTCCCAGGCATTCTTTTAGCTTTCTATTATCTATAGTCAAGCACAGACATGACCTAAAGACCTGACTTGGACCACAAATATAGTGTCGTCATCTACATTCTTTGTCCATCGTCCACTAATGATCTTTCCATAAGGTTATCCTACTAGAATATCTTCATACAACGATATTATATGGTTCCTTGGATATAGCTGGTGTCCTTTTTTATTTGGACACCCAATACTTAAATATTGGCTTGACAGAATTTAGTTTTATATAAGTTTTTCAGTTATTTTTTTAATTAATTATGCACCTATATTTAGTTACCAGTTTCAGTTAGCAAGAAGACATTTTTATTCTAAATTTGAATAAAAAAAATCAAGTTTTATTAAATATATACCTATACTGCGTCAATTTTCTTCCTCCACAAGACATGGAGGTAATCGATAAGCTGCACTGTTGACTTTTATATACAAAAGACATGTGATCTAATGAAACACAAATGCTAAATTTTTTAGTTATGAAAAATGTCTTAAGTCTCTTGGGTCTCCCCTATCTATTTAATTCATTCTGTAATTTTTTCGTAAAGTATCGCGTCTTATATAAATGAGTTTCACCTAGTCATTAAAAAAAATATATATGTTTATTTTTAGGTGAAATGGCTCCGAAGCATAAACCACTTCTTCTAAATACATTTTTAATAGGAACAAAAGATGATGACGATCTAATCCGTGCTTCAAGTTTATCGAATTTAGGGGAAATATGTAGAGTTTTGGGTTACAAACTTGGCACTATGTTTACAGAGGTAAGAAACCATTCATTTATATTCTAGGTATAATTGTTTAAAATGTCGAAAATGTCATCTTCTTACTAGTTTACGATGTTAATCTGATGACGTAATATTCTAGAGTGACAATACATATACTATATAGTTTTTGTTTTGATATTCTTGGGAAGTTATAATGTATTTAGGTTCCGGTTGAATAACAACACTCATTCGTATGTTACTATTTTATTCGAACAGGAAACGTACATTTTAAATCTGGGTACAAGTGGTACAACGGCAGGACGAAACCGTTACCATACGAAATGTATAAGATGGACTGCGCGCGCCACCACTTGGTGTCGCACACATACTTTGATTGGTGTCGCAGGATTGGAACTGTGACGTATACCCAGTGATACCAACTTTGTTGGATTGTTAAGCCCTGTTCTTAGATGTTTTTTATTTTAAATAGAACTACAGTTTTAAATAATGATTTGCAAAGATTTCGGCCTGTTTTCTGTCTTCTTCAGTACTTTTTATTTTATCTAATTATTTTTTTTAGTGGGTTATTATTAAGTATATTTTATTACTTTTGTTTTTTACATATTATTACTTCATTGTTTAAACAATTGTGTTGTTTACTATAACAGGTACTTAACTACAATTTAACAATTTGTTATGTGTAACTAGGAAACAGGAAACCAGTAAAATATTCCTGAAAACCTGGTTTTTCTCAAAAATTTGTCACATTTCCAATAAGACGGATCACCTACTTACTGTAATGTGAGCATAGGGATCCCTATAGTTGGGTAAAGAAACTATAGGGTGCTAAAAACATGATTCAATGCACTTTAGATTTTTCATGGGATTTCATTTTATCCCATATATGGACAAGATCGTCTGTGCCTTTTTTTGACCAAATCTCGTCACCTCCAAACAAAACACATACAGAACAAAACAGTTTATTAGTTTCTTCGCAACCACACAACCAATTATTTTTATCATAAATAGTTTTATTAAATTTACGATTAAAAGAGTTTTTTAACACGCCAATTTTATTCATTGTCACAATAAATTAAAAACTAGGAAATAAGATATTTAAACTAATTTATCGAAAAGAAAAAGACACATGGGTATTAAAGTCACATTTCGTAACGTAACGAAAAACTTAAAAGCGCGTAAAGAAATAATACATAACATATGTTCGGTAATAATACCTACCGGAGTACCTTCCTTTTTGAAATTTTCAATTTTAGAAACGTTTCATATTGTCAAACAACTAGATTCAATCTCAATTTTTTATTTTATATTTTATAAACAACATTTTATATTGAAAAGAAACAATACAATGTAACATCAAACAATCTACTGTGGTTGACCGCATTGATCACGTATTATCAACAAATTACGAAATCAAATATCGTTTTCAATTATGTTTTTTATTATTTGATTTTTGATGTGTGTCCGAACCATTAATGGTTACTAACGAATTGCCGCGGGCCATTCATGCAGCAGTTACGGTTATTCGACAGGTTAGTTAGTCGAATGCCTAAAAAAGAAGCAAAATATACGCTTGTCTGAATGCAGAATGTACAGTGGGAAAATTAAGTCCTATTCCTTTGTCAACTCGTTTATTTTAAAAGAATATGGAAAAACACATGAACCCGACGGTATCAAAGTTTCGATATTCTTTTGAATCCCCTTCAAGCGACAGCCACTTCATTTTTTTTTAAACAAAGGGGGTCAAATGACACCTGGTTTGAATAGTTATGAAAATCTAAGAACAAAGCTCATGGACTTTCAAATGGGTGTGTAAAATAGTGTTAACTGCTTTCACACCAATCTTTAAAGTAGCTTGAATGTTTTTGACAGTAATGTGCCGGTCATCTTTAATCATGTTTCGAATAAGAACATTTTTTGCTTAGTAGCTCGAAAACTGTCATTTAAGGAATATTGACCTCGTTGAAATTCATTGTACTACCGCTTTACGGTAGCGAAGCAACACGACGCTCACCAAGCACTCGATTGATTTCCTCAAAATATTCTTTACGGTTTAAGCCAGGCGTGAAATTTTAAAAAATTACAGCCCGATAATGCTCCTTATTAATTTTCATTTATTGGCTGAAGGATTACTTTAAACTTTTGTAACTTATATTCAGGTATATTTGACAAATGTCACTAATTAAATTTGTAAACTAGACTTAAATTTCAGACAAAATTTCATGCAAAAATCATGGTCCACTCATTGGTAAACGGACAAACGCCAATCGTGGATAAGGGACACCACCGATGGTTCTAAAAAAACCTATGTTTATATGTCTCACGTCAGCCGGAAACATATAAAGAAAACTAAATTAGTAGAGGAGCATTCAAGAGATTGAGTATACTTATTTTATTTTTACTTTCCTCCATAAAAGGGAAGTATTGTAATCGCGAAAATTTAGATTTTCACGTTTCCGTGTCCCTAGATTATGAAAAACATGTTCTCCCCATTCCGTTGGTCTGTCTGACTTCTGTCTGTTGGCGCGATAGCTCAAAAATGTCTTAAGAGAAAAACTTCAAATTTTGTATGCAGCCAAGGCTTCCTCTTGGCTCAAAACCGGTTGTACTTCCGGTCAGATATATACAGGGTGAGTAATTAAAAAAAACATTTATTTTTAAAAGTCAGCAGATTTTGACTAAAAATTGGTTTCTGATAAAATTGGTAGGTATCTGATCAAAGATAACAGATTATAAATTACTTCTAAAAAATTCAAAATGGCTTCCCTGTTTTTACAATTTATACAGGGCGTTTTTAAATGGTATGCCAATATTGTAGGGTGTGATTCCTCAGGTAATTTTATGAAGAAAAATTCATGTGTACATAATATGTCCGCAACGGCTTCAATTTTTTGCTACAGGGAATTGAAAATTTGTTTTTTAAAGAGATATTTTTTAATATCTCTGAAAATAGTTTAGATATAATTTTGAATTTTGGCATATGTTAATAGGATATAAAACCACATATTTTAGTTAGAAAATTTATTTTATTGCTCTACCAGTGACGTCTCTGCAAACATGTCATCTGATATTTTCTACAAAAAAAGTAGTACACCACCGAGATTATATTGATTCTCAATAAGTTTTTCAACTAACTTTTTGCTTAAGCCTGACTCACGTTTTTTAATATAAATTTTTCAAATTGTGCTCTTATTTTCTTCAATTAACTTCATTATACTTAGCTTTATTATTTGCTATACAACTTTATTTAATAATAAAGAGACTCTCTCTCTTTCTCTATAGCATGCTTTACAAGTTATGTCATTGTAAATCTAAATTATTGAGCTGTAATATTTTATTCATTCGTGATATATTCTATTGAATACAACTTTTGCTATCGAAACTATGGACAATTTCATCAAATATCAAATTAATTATTGTATATTTTTGTTTTTCTCAAAATACCTTAGTATTCACTTGTCCATTTGTATTTTTATACCTATATATTGTTATTTTAATCTCTTTTGTATTTAAATTTTTAGGTGTTAGTATGCGTCCACTCAATAATCGCAACTGACAAATCACCGCAAGCACGTCGTGCAGCCGTCACGGTTATCAGACAGTTATTCATCGGTCTCGACCAAGAAATCATTGCATTTTTTAAAGACGATATTTTGCCTGTGTATAGGACACTAAAACACGTCTACAACAACGATAAGGATGACGTCATGAGGCTGCAAGCTCAATTGGCTTTGGAAGAGCTAAACGAGAGTATGAAGAGTTTTGTGTTTCCCAAGCCGGAATTGAATTTAGAGAAGAAAATTGTTATGTTAGATTAGTGTTTAAGTGTAGATTAAGAATATATTTTTTCTAAACAATAAAACAAACATTCTTATAAAAATATTTATTCAAGTCTTTAGATCCAAAAAAGACCATCTCTTAAAAGTACATCACTAAAATATACAAAATAAATATATAGTTTTTTTAATATGTCATTAGCATCAATTGCATACTATACCCGGTGTTTTTAGCTTTAAAATTTCGCACTATCTATTAGGAAAAAAAATTGTGCCGCAGCAGTCCAACACCTAGTATATCACAGTATTAATATGCAATAGTCTTAATTTACCTACATTATCTAATAGTAATAAATGGAACACTGCAATCAGTTTACTAGTTAAATAGAGTTATACAGGGTGTTTCAAAAAGGCTTTTTGAAACACCCTGTATATCTGCATTAAGATGTGTATTTCTGTTCAACTAGCTTGAACAATCCAAACATTCCAAACTTCCAATTTATTTTACATTTTTGTTTTTACTGGGCAAACCGTAAAGGAAATTCGTAATATTATTTTTTTATTAAACTTTTAAAGTGAAGATCAAAAGGAAACTAGAATGAAGATATATAAAACTTGGCATTCTATATTATACTCTTCACAGTTTAACAGATCCCTTCAATCCCAATTTTCAATCAGATTTTTTAGAATAAATAGGCTTCATCACCTTATAAACATTATTATTTATAAAATGAATTAAACTCAAAGCCAATATCACATAAAATACTCTTCGAAAAACAACTACTCCTTTGACTAATACCGCAACAGGCATTGAATTACATCCGAAGGAAAGACAGCAGAGAGAAATTAATTTCTAACACTCTCTACTTTGATTTTGCTCACCAAGGAGAACATCATTCTTGGACCGGTTTCGTCCTTATTAGGACTCCTCAGCAAGAAATAGATAGGTTCTCAATTCCAGTCTCTAATGGAATTAACAAATGCTACACATTTCATCAGTATACCATAAAGTTGGTTATGTAGAGAATAAGAATTCAAGTAGTGAAATGGTGTCGCCATCTGTTCTTAGTAAGCAAAATCAAAATCAAAGGGGAAACGGTCGTTGGTATTTTATGTGATATTGGCTTTGAGTTTAATTCATTTTATTTTACGTCTATCACATTTGAGTTTTGATTTAATTTCGTATTTATTATTATTTAAACACTCTGTGTCAAATGAGCACCGTCCGAAGCCATATCTCTCTAACACACACATCCCCTTATATAAAGCTTGATTTTTTGATATCGTTTTTTGTTTTTGAGTTAGGATTTTTTCAATATTTCCACCCCCCCTTTAACAACAGGGTCAGTATATTAAATCATATGTTTTTGTTAAAACAAAAACAAAGTTGCCCTTGAAGGTCACGAGCAAGATAAAATAAAATAAAATAACGGCATTTTCTAAACTTTACGAATTCAAGTTACTTTTACTTAAAAACTTTTGCTGCTAAATATACAGAATAAATAAATATTTTACTATTGCAATGTTCCGTTAAATTATTGAATTTATTTACCATAGTTTTAATGGATTTTATTTGTTGCACCAGTGTCACATTCGACACTGTAGTTGAACTGTCATACTTGTCAAAAGTACATGCTACACTCAAGTATGTGTCAAATGTTTGAAGCTACACTGAACAAATCAAATGCGATTAGTGCAGAAAACTTACACCTAGTGCAACAAATAAAATCCGCTATTATAAACAATCCAATGTCCTGTCAGAATAGACAAAAATGGTCGATGCTTGGCAAAAACAACAAAGTTCGTTAGCCTGACTTTTTCATTGATTGTTATTGTAAATCATGCAATTAGCATTCGTATAATCTTAATAGATATTAAATTATGCCATTTTTCAATTAAATATACTGAAAAAATCTCACACTTAAAAAAAAATAATACAAACTTAGACTAAAAACCTCACTAGAGTTACATGGGGTCAATTTACGGACGTCCACATATATTTATGCAGAGTTGCATAGATTAGATAGCGGTTCTACGTTGTATTATTGTTAACTTTGCTTTTAATATTATATTCATTCATTCTTTGCTTAACTTTAAGGCAGTAAACAAGCCTTTATATTTTGTACTTAATTAATAAAATTTTTAAAGTCTTTTTCGGTGTTTGAAAATCTATCTCTAGAAGTGTTTTTGTCAAGGGAAGCATGTACTATTGTTGTTTTTGGCCAAGGGTCCACCATTTAAAGTCACGTGATTTGGATTGCTCAATTCACTTCTATCACAAGTTATAAGTAAATAACAACTAGTATAGACCAGTTACTTTTTAAATAAATCTATAGGATGGCTTATAGCAAATTTCAGTTCAGAGATGTTTAATTTAGGGTCGATTCCACCGTTGTATTAAACGGTTAAAATGACATTGTTAATGTAAAAATGTAATTTTAAACTTCGTTTAACACAACGGTGGAATCGGTACACTAAAAGGTTAGTAAATAAATATTGCTGATCTGATATATGGGCGATTCTTGCATAACTGTGATTTTTTATGTCCAGTATTTTATTTATCGTTTAGCATAAGTTTTCCTCATCAAAAAGTTATTAATATTGTAAATTTAGAGGTATTTTACAACTGACATTATGAATTAGATCATAAACCTTCGCAAATTTTTTTTAAGCTGCACCTAAATATACTCGAAATGTCAGTACCGTGGCATGTCCGATTCTTATTTTTAAAATTAAATATATAAATTTCTATCAAAATTAATTTTTTAATATAAAATGTACCTCGTATAACTACAATCTAATGCATACTGCATTGAATTTTATTGCAATTTTATACCAATTTTTCGATCAGTAAAAAAATAATCATTTATATGTCAGTACTGTGGAAATAATGTCAGTACACCGTGGCATTAAACTTTTGAAATTTTGTCACAGTTTTCGTTGTGTTGTAGCTGTAGTAAAACCAGTTCACAGGCTTAGTTTTGTGAATAAATAGAAAATAAAAACTCGCAGAACAAACGTTTTAAAACATTTTTAATGTTAGAAAAATTTAAATTGTAAAAATCGCAGTTACACGAGAATCACCCATATAACTAAAATTATATAGTGCTTTAGACAGTATTCAAATATGCTTAAAACGCATCGATAAAGCTTCAATTAGGCGTTCCAACCATGATACAAAAGTATTCAAAGGTATGATACTAAGCCCAGTGTTGCCAATATATGAAAGTCTCAACTTTACAAGTTGAAAATCGCCAGAAATCACCAGATAGAAAAAATCACTTTAATAAAAAATAGAAAATTTCACTTTTTTTAAATCATAATAAAGTTAGGTACAAAATATATATATTGGAGCAATGAAGGCAATGAAGTGAACAGGTGAGGCTAAGTCGTCTGGACACTTTGCGAGGCCTGGAAAACCACTTTACTGTCGTGGTTTAAATACTATTTTTTATCCTGAACCAACAGAAAACTTTACCCTAAACTAAAATGAAATTATTATTATTGCTTCTTCAAAAATATATTTTTTTGGACTTCTTTGATAATAAATCAAGAACAACTTTTTTGCTTTTTTATTAATATCCGATGATGTGCAATAACTAAATTCTTCACCTTCACTAGAAGATTCCATATTATAAACCAATTTACTTTACTTCGGCTTTAGGAAAGAAATCTGAATTACAATAAGTCCGCATTGGTACCAACCACAAAAATGACAAATGCTTTAGAATATGACGCCAACAGTGGGATTCTCATCTTTCGATTCGGCACGTGTTGAGAAGCTTTTATCTTCGTTCCACAGAATGCGATTTGTATGTAATGTCTCTCTCTATTTGATTCGTTACGTGTTGAGTACGCACATAACAATCCCTATCCAGATTGCCAACAATTATTTATATTACTTGACGGCAACACACACAACATGTATGTGTAATTTGTGTTGCAGCATGTGACCTATCCTTATAATTTATTTTGAAAAATTTGACAGCTTGTCTACTTTACATTATTCATAGATAAATATCACTAAACACATAACCTGTAGCAGAATAAACAAGTTTGTATTCTTTATAAAAAATGCAACAAAAATAATTTAATAATAAATTGTGAAAGGACCTGTCAAAATTAAGTGGTGTACCATCTAGCGGAAAATTAATGCGATTATTTTACTGGTTAGCCATTTCTAGTTATTTTGCCAGGCTAGCCAAGAAAAGATGCGTTTTGACCTCTCTAAAGAGGCGTCAAAATTGAGTTTTATGTTGGTGTAGAATAAAAGGACACACGTATACCTAGCTTAAAATATTTACTAAACCTTCTCTTCTAAATATGAATATATATTTGTTAAACATGTTTCAGCATTGAAAGTTGCTTTTAAGTCATACTGTATTTATATTTTTAGTCATACTGTATTTATATTTTTAAGTAATAACAAAAGGTTGTTCAGTGTTTACTAATTTCTATTTGTATATAATTTAATTTATACCCAGAATAAATAAATAATAAATGTATATTCACAAATTAAACTTTGTTAAGAATATACAAAAAATTGTTATAACTTTGTTATGGACCAATTTAAAATGAACGCATTTAATATTAATTTAAAACATGAATATCTATACAAATTAATTTTGGATTCATTTTAATCCATTTACTCAATAATGACGTATTATTTGAATCAAAAATTTCTAAAGAGCATACTAGAGAGACTGCAAAACCACTACACTCAAATGTATTGTTTATGATTGTAACTAAATCTCTCTCTATAGGACCAATAAAATAACAATTATTTTTGTATTTAGGTCCTACAAATTTTCGTAGTTTATTTTTGTTGAAAAACCAAAAACTGATTTTAATTAGAAAACGTACATATTATCGTGTATGTAACCAGTTCAAAAAGTTCTACTGGAACTGCATTTTTCGTAAATTAAAACATATTGTATCTAGTTATAGGTAGATGCACCACGTAGACGAAGCAAAACACAAAAATTACTCCTACTTAAAATTTTTTGAAAAGTCCGATTGTTTTTTGTTTTCACATCCCGTTTCAACATCCGACACAGTGCTGCAACTACTCGTTGACAGTTCTGAAGCTATCGATACGTTATCAAATTCTTCTGTTATCCTTTTTCCGGCTATTTTAAGTGCCAGTGCCACTATTCCTATGACACCGGCTATGACCAGCATGGTTATTACAAAAATTGGGACGAAGTTGTTCTTGTAGGATCTTGGTTCTTTGTATTCGGCTGCCTCCTCTTTAACTGAAACAACAGAAGAAAATGAAAATAAATAAAAAAGAACACACTCTCTATATACGGAGTGAGCAAAGGAAAAGATAACAGATTGAATATCTTGAAATACATTAAAAAAAAAACGCAGAAAAAAGTTGAAATATGTACCCTATATATTTAAAAATAATTGTGAAATATGGTCATACAACTTTGTATTTAAAATTTCTTTGTATCTCTAAATAAACAAAAAAAGTTTACCATAGGTATGATGCATGTCTTTTACACCACACTGTAGGCGTTGTATGAAGATATTATAGTAGGATAATGCTACAGTAAAAAGTGTTGGATGTAATCTCGGGCGGCATCTAGTGACGATTTAATGAAGTAGTCAATTTTTAATACTATGCAGATACTACGTCTTCATTTCGATGAGGCACGTGGCCTCTACTATGTATCACCTGCCTACTAAAGTTAAAAATATATCTTTATTTATTTAAAAATAAAAATTCATGTAAAAGACATAAAAAATTAAATATAATAATGAACATTTATTTCAATTGACAAAACCGTACAAATACAATTTTTGGATGAAGGTGATAAAAAGTGGTTAAGGACTTTAGTCAATATTTTGGTTATGTGCGGTTATGTCAATATATAAATAAACAATAACAATGTCCAATATTTTAAATAAATTGAAGAGTTCCAAGTAGAAGATAAAAAAGAAATAAGCTTCTAAAAATGTTGCATGTAATCAAGTACCTCTAATTGGACATAATAAACATTTTTTACCAATTACTATGTCTGGACTAAGTATTGGAAAAGTTTATAACCATAGCTGAATATTTTTATAGTTTTTAAAATTCAAACAAGCTTTTTTACAAAATTCCATCAAAGCTATCAACAGTTTGCAAGAAATTGAGTTAAGGTACAAGGAAATCACTAATCAGTGAAAAATCAATTCATAACATTGAAAAACAAATTTAAAAAAAGCAGGCACACGGATATATTAGTGACTTCCAAATGTATATTGGCTGTTCATGAATATAAGAAATAATGTTCTCTCGGCTGGCTCTGAGCGTTGAAATAAATCACCTTAAAAGTTTTCAATAGCTCCGCTCTTTGTTTAGGAACAGCTCAAGACGAAATCGATAGACCTACAGTGGTATATCTGTGGCAGACATATTCAGTTAGTCTTTATATTTCATTATGCAATGCTACAAGGTTCAACAAATTGTCAAAATGGTTAAAATTTATTTTCAAAATCAGTGCTTTATTTAGTACAGAATTCTACGAACGACACAATAAATTTATTGCTTTGAGCATAAAAGAAAATTTTATAAAAAACATTTTTTTTTGTAATTTATCACTATTTTTCATTGTTGATAGAATACAGCCTTTTAGTTAGCTCAGACAAAACTGATTAAATAAATAAATTAATGTCTTATTATTATTATTTGCATTTTTTTATTTCGACTGGTTGACTATCTCAAAATACCAAGCCAATCAAGCAAAACGTGAGTCACATTTCGCTTTTTCAGAAGAACAATGACGCAAGTGAAAATGAATGATTCCACAGAAATAGCAAATTAAAAAAAATGTAATATGAAACTTACAACTAAGACGTTAAGGAAAAGTTTGGAAATAATCGATGGGGACTTCGAGATAGCAAATTTATTTTAGTTTTAGACAGAACTACTTTATTTTATTCTTTTGGAAACAATTAAAGATTTATAGGCCTTAAAAGTAAAATATGCACTTGCGTCATTGTTCTTCCGGAAAAGCGATTTGAAATCGGTAAAACGATCGCCCAAAAACGCTCTTAAACGTCCATCCACAAAATCACTGTTGACCAGTGTAATTTATAAATATATTAACACATAAATTTACAAGCAAATTAAATATTAACAAAATATTTAAGAATGGTAATATTAATAATTGTCATTGATTGAACTGAATATTCAGTCCAATAGGCTCTCGACCGAACTCCTTTCCCTTTTTAGAATATTATCTATTAAATTCAACAAGTTTACATGTTTTGTTCCAACACGGATTTTAATAATAGATTTATAAATTGTTTTTGTTTATTTGAATGTAAAAAGTTCTTTAAGTTCTTTAACATATATTTCACATGAGATGATTATGAGATTTTTTTACCCTTTTTTGGTACACATTTGTGCAAGGCAACTTTACAAATGTTTCCTTCTTTTTTTTTCTTGTAGAAGACAGACACACCAGCAGTGTAGTACAATGATAGTATATTAAAAAGCCATGTCACATATTTGATTAGATAATTAACTTGACATAAGTGCCATCAAGGCTTAGGTCGTTAAGCGTTCAAGTTTGGATTTTCCAACCCGGATTCAATTACAGATAAAAACATTCTTTTTATTTTGGAAAAAATATGAAAAATTCGACTAATGCTGTTTATTTTAATACATTTTATTTATAATAATATAACCCGTAAAATTAATGCAATCTTTCTGCTCAATTCTGTAGTATTTTGACAACAGTTCATAGTAGTAGTCGGGAACTGAACTTCACGAAATCCAAAGTTGAGCACTTAACGTTCTGAGCCATGAAGGTTCATGTCAATGTTAATTATCTAATCAAATATGTAACATTCACATTTTCTATAATTTATTTTTTAAGACGCCTTCGTTGAGTGCTTCATCACTGCAGGGCATGCAGCAAAGTATATCTATGTACAAAAAAAAATTAAAATTTGTAATTTTGCCTTTCGAAAATAATACACCTAAATGTGCTACTGATTCCGCTACCATAAATTGATACTTATTTTTAAATGGTGTTAAAAGTTAAAAACTGAAAATTAGTGGCTGAAATGTTTTTATTACTTAGTATAATTTCACTAAAAGTGTTTGGTATTATGTTATAAGTTTACCTAACAGCAAAAAAAATCTGTTAGTTAAATTTTGTCAGTGTGCACACGTTCATAACAATATTCATAACATTGTCAGTTCTAATCTATACATCGACGTCAAAAAACCAGCAACATCAGTGACTTCTAAGATTGGTGTTAGTTTTATTGGAAAGAGATAAATATATGTAAAGATCAATGTAAAAGAGAAATAAGTCATATATGTAATTTAAATGGACTACCGAACAAATTTTCCTATTAAGTTACACGTCTCTGTTTTCTCTGCTATTATAGTAAAATTCGATCCAACCTCAACTTATTTAATCTTTTCCAAACAAAAATAAAAATTGGTTTATTTTATTATATTGATTATTCTGGCATTTTATGTGACCTTCAAATACCCTTTTGTTATAATTTGCAATTGTAACTTAAAAAGACATTACCAAAGACAAGCAGAAATGAAAACTTAACTTGGACATAAATACAGTGTCGCCATCTACATTCTATGTCCATCGTCCTCCAATGATCTTTCCATAAGGTTATCCTACTAGAATATCTCCATACAACGCTGTAGGTATACCTATGATTTTTAAATAAAATGTTCGTATTCTTTTGCAGAATACCTGAAGAATCCAAAAAATTGAAATATTTAATAAAAAAATATTTTTATTTCTAAAAAAAGATCTGATGACTTTCCAATGAAGTTATCAAATATATTGAGTACGGACCGTCTAATCAAAATGATCTAATTGGCTTGTACCTATCTTAATTTACCTATACAATGTCCATGTCTATACCTATTTCTCTAAAATATAACGATGTATCCATTTTAAATGTAATTTTGTTTATAATTCAAATTAACGATACAAATTATGTAGGTATTCTGTATATTTTTTCTTTAATTTCTCTATTTAATTATTTTATTAAAATAACATTAATATAACCCATTTCGCTATTATATCGACATCCTATAAAAAAAAAATAGATCGGCTAATGGACAAAGTCCCTGGTCAAAAAAATCCAACCTCACACATCCAGTACAGACCTGCCTATTATTTCATTTTAATTTTAATCTAGCATGCCGTGTACGTCACCAAGTATCTTTTATTTCGGCCAATCACAAATTTGCCTCTTCAGTTTAAAATGGCTGTACTACGTGCGCGTCTATTCGTTTCAACAATGAACTTTTTTATAAAATATTTAGTGAAAATAAACTAAATATCTATAATTTCTATCGTTAATATCTTGTGTTTCAATTTGACAACAGTTTTCCGAAGGTATGTAAATAAATTTCTATAACTTTCAAAACCGGATTTGATAGATAACCTGTACTGGGATGATTTAATGTTTTTTTAAAAATATTCGATAAATGAATGAAAATTACATTTTGAGATTGATAAAATGCTTTTTCGTCTATTACCCATTAATTTCTAATTTGAAAATTTAATAAGAACGTTGTTATAATTTAAGTAGTTTTTTTTATCATCGAAGATAAAAATGTTCTTGTTGAATCTGTCAAATCGCTGACATAGGATTTTTTTTTGTTAAAAATCCAGACTATATCGTTTAAAATTTCTTATTTCGATCTGTTTTATTCATAAATTGAGTGTGTTCGTGTTCTAAATTCCCCATTTATAGGCAAGACTAAGATGCTAAACCGATATTTTAGGTATAAGGTGAAACATATATAGGTTTTTATAGGTATTGTTTTTCTAATAACTAACGTAAATCGTGCATAGATATAAGTAACTATCACTTATTATTTTGTATTTTACTACAATAGTTGAGACTTTAAATCAAATAATACAGTGAAAGTTTTTATAGATTTGCTTTGGATATTTTTTGTATGAATAGGTTGACAAGGAAACACAGTCACTGACAATGAAGCACTAAAAATGCCAAAAGTTCGGAATTTTTTAAACTATGACGGAAAACGGATCGGAATGCGGTTTTTTGCATTCGCTTCCAAACATTTTTTGGAAAAAATGTCCCTATTTTTATCTTATACAAACCGAAAATTGCATTGCTGCAGCCAAAAATGCATTCAAAAAATGCATTTTTTGAGACTGCTTTTGGAAGATTAAAGAACTTTGTAAATAAGAGTCAGAATTGGCCCAAATCGGGTTTCCGGCGAATTTAGAGGTCACTGATCACG